CTTGTTTGATATGTTTTAACTTATCCTCTGAAGCATGTCTCTTTCCTGTTTATAACCATGTCTTCTCCTATTTTTAAAAATGTATGAACCTTTACACAAACTCCTAATTAGTGAAAGAGGCTTGCACGTGCAGAGTATAGAATATAAATTGAGTGACCTGCAACATCCAAAGGTTTTTAAAATTTTACAACCAAATAAAAATCCAGAATGGAGCTATTGCATCTCCATTCTTTAATTATTTTCAGATCCATGGTCTGTGTGGGGCAGAGAAGTGGGATGTAGATTTGATGTGTGTAGGAGATTAACTCTCTGTACTTTTTAAAATTACAATCTTCATACTATTTCCCCGGTTCAGAGAACCACATATATACATCGTCATTTTTCCTAATAGCGAGAATGAGGCAGAGACTTTGTTGGATCAAGAAGTGTAAAAAGGAGGATTAAGCAGCTCCTTGGTGTCCCGCAGTCCTGGTCCAAACCCCACTCCCCCTGCTGTTTGCAAAAATTTAAATCAAATGAGGGTAGGATTTCTCCTTTCTGTCCTTGCATTTACTTAGACTTTACTGATATTTTAAGTGCTATTGAGGATGCAGAAAGCAAAACTTGTAAAAGCTTAATGCATTTTCTTTTCTCAATTATTCCTCCTATCTTGATGGGCTAAGAACATTTCACTTGCAAACTTTATTAAGATTAGTAAAAGAGGTATGTGTGTGTAAGGCAATGATTAACCTTAAGAGTAGAATATGCTGCATTAATATTCCGGCTTTTTTCATATTATAGTATTTCAGTAACCTGTGGATATAGTTAATTTGTCATGTATTTGGTTTCCTGACAATTTGTGGGGAAAACTAGTGATTTTTTAAAGAAGGATCTTATTCAAGCCCATATCAGCTTGAATACAGACACAGTCTAGAATGTATAAAACCATCTGCGTAATGTAGAATATCCATTGACTTTGTGTATTAGTTCTGTGGAAGTTGTTTGTAAAACATGTAACATTCCACATTTCCTTCTCTGACTCAAAACAAAAGTAGCAAATTTGTTTTGTGTCCTTCCCAAAACTTGTTAATAAGGTATAATAAACATTTTCCTTGGGAAGGTAATTGAAATATATGGTCCCTTGGAAAAGACTAGAATATATACTGAATATTGTTTTTTTGGGCATGGGGAATAGCCAAGAGAATTATATTGACAGAATGGAAAAGTACTACTGTATGACTCCAGATATCAAAGGCTGGATTCAAGAAATATGTAATTTATTCATTTTTAAAAATACTTTTTTCCCCTCTGTTAAAAAAAAAAAGTGCAATACATTTCTCTTGGGCATAGATTTCATAGTATTTTAGAGGAATAAGCAATTTTAATGCATCATTTGATACAATGTTGTTAAATGATTCAATGAATATGTGATGTATTTAGATGATTTATATTAATTTAATATGTTGCTTTTTAGGCTTTTTGCTGTTTATCTTATTTTTTTATTTCATTTTTGTTTTGGTATTACATTTCATCACTACTTAACTTGTTGGATGTCGCTGTTGTAATTTGTTTTTGTATATTTTTTCCCTCGGTATTCTTTTTTAAAAATTGCTATAGATAGATAGATAGATAGATAGATAGAAAGAAAACTATTTTTGTCCAGAGGTGACCTTAAAAAAAAGCGGTATGTATTTGGGGAATCATTATTGTTAACTACAAGCATTAAAAAAACCCGAATACTGTACTTCCTAAATCATGAAATTCCTGGAGAGAAAAATTTAGCACTGTATTATTGACCTACCCCACTACAATAAAGGTGGGAAACATTTCTTTCTTTCTTTTTTTTTTTTAAAGCATGATCTGAAGAATTTTGTTGTAATTTTCTTGGGGGTATCATTTTGGGAAGCCCTAATATCAGCTGCTTATAATTTTGCTTGCCACTTTTAAATATTTCATAACAGGCATGAGAGGAAAATACGTACAGAGGGTTCGTACGGAACCCAGTGTAGGAGACAAGGCTTCTCCTTAGCTGGGCAGGAGAATAAGTAACCATGTCTACTCCACATCAGTTTTGTCATTCCAGAACAAAATGCAACCTATAATCCTGTGGGTCCATACTTTGACTTGAGAGTCCTCTGAATTTTTGCTGAGGTTGACTTGTCTGTGATGGCTCCAGATTTATTGGCTTCTATGACAACCATGGGTTTGTCTCATATTTTTATTTAGTCTGACTCATGTTGCTGGGCGTACACTTGATTGGTGTTTTGTGGTCTTAGCATATTGTTGGTTTGGGTTTTCATCAGAGCCCTGCTGGGTTGAGGGACCTCCTTCATTCTTGGAAATCTGATGAACTGGAATGAAGATCTTCTGGCTAACATGTTCGGTAGTCTTGTTGGTGCCTGGCAATAAAGAAACGGGGTGATAAAGTCTATACTCCAAGCCTGAATATTCTCTTCCAAACCATCACACGCAGCCATCTTCTTGATTTTCTGAAGAAATAAAGCTAACAGTTGTGAGATAATGGCTGGCATGCAAGGGGTTGAAGAGTAGATGAAGGTAACCAAGTATAGGCTATTGCCCATTTTAGGGCAGTGAAGTTGGGAACAAAAGCAGATTTCTTTCTTGCCCAGGCATCTGCTCCAGGTTGGCTATTGTAGACCTATTGTAGTTGTAGGAGATCTGTTGCATTCTAGTAAATGGCATCTTCATTGGTCCTTAAGGTTCAGTCTTCTAATCGTTTTACTAATAAAATGGCTTACATCTGCATACATTTAGAATAAGGAAGATGGTAATTACAGTACTTTCTCAAATTGTAACACCAAGTTTAGTATACCGTTATCAAATATGGCCCTTTCCCATCCTGGCTAGTTAAAAATGCCAGGGTTTTCTCTTTGGGTCTGTGTAGTGTAGTGGTTAAAGTGTTGGACTGAGACCCAGGATAAATTAAAAGGAGATCCCCATGTAAACACCTTGATTTCATGAGAGAAAGGCAGGCTATAAATCTCACAAATAAATAAAATAAGTAATACTTCATTGAACTAGAGTGTGCAATAACCACGATTGAAAGAAACTGTGCTAAAGCAATGCATGGAAAGGGCAATCGTATTTGGACTTGGGTGATGTACATAATTCTAATAAGCACAATATGTTAGCACTTTCCTTGTTTGAATGAAGAGTTCTAAAACATGATTAAAAATTAATTCTGCCATTTTAGGCATTTACTGCACTTAAGCCGAGAGCATTATATCTTTCTTTGCTTTATTTTTGTCACTTGTGTTGTTTTTTAATCAGAAATGCAGGATACACATTAACTAATAAAGGTGACATAGTTTTGCTGATTCTGTTGGGGGAATGAGTTGGGAGAGAAACTTAACCAGCGTGATAAATAACCTTATATCTCTCATACACTGCTCAGCACACCATGTGTACAGGGTGTCAGTAATTCTTGTGGAGAATTCTTAAGATCCATCCTTACTGTGATCTTCGTCTTGTTGATCTTATAGGACTGTGTGATACTTCAGAATCCAAAGGGAAGAGGTGCTGTGAAAGACTGGTGGGGACACATGTCAAAGCGGTTTGCAATCTCTTAAACCAAACACATCTTTTTTCATGCAGCTGCATGATCTGGGGGAAAGACATAGCTGCTTTAAGGAGCTGGAGACAGTGTGTGTGAGGACTCTACCATGCTTCAATGAAGAGCCCTTTTGCCTTTGACTTGGAAGCACTACAAGTCCTATTCCCTTGTACAATTAGAGGCTTCATGACAGGTGGAGAGTTGCAGGTATTTTGGCTGAGAGTTCAAAAAATCCCACTTCGTTCAGTAAAACTCACTCTGAGGGAGCTTCCATAGGACCACAGTCATTCTTCTCTTGACTTGCTGTAGACATTTTGATGCAGAAACTACCGCTGAGCCAGGACACCTGGAGGAGATACCTATTTGATATCTATTTGAGAGATGGGAGTGAAAATATTATGAATAGTTATTTTCTTCAATTACTAGTTGATAAATTAGAGGCGTCTCTATTTTGTTTTTCGTAAATTAGAATCATGGAATTGTGGAGTTGGATGGAACCACAAAGATGATCAATCTTCTGAAAAGTGCAGGAAAACCATTTTAACCATCCTGAAGAGGTGGCTGTCCAGACTCTTCTTAAAAGTCTCCAGAGGTGGAGAACCCACGACCTCCACAGGTAGACTGTTCTACTGTGGATGGATCAAACAATAAAAAGTCTTTCCTTAAAATTAAATGAAATCTAGGTAGCTACAACTTATACCTGTTACTTTTGGTCCCAGTTTCTGTGGCAATGGAGAAGAGTTCCCGCCCATCATCCCTGTGATACTCTTTTATGTAGCCGAACATTAATACCATGTCTCCCCCATTCCCCTGAATCTTCCCGCCAGATTTTACATCTCAGGTTCTATGTCCTCATAGGGCATGTCCTGAAATCCCAGGATCATCTTTGTTGGTTTCTTCTGGACCTGTTCTACCGGTCAGTATCCTTCTGGAAATGGGGTGCCCAGAATAGTATCCAGTTTTCCAGTTTTGGTCTCACCAGTGGAGAGTATAGAGGAATAAGAACTGTGTCTTTGATACAATGCTTCTTCAGATTCATTCCAGGATTGTGTTAGCTGTTCTAGAAGCTGTCTCACACTGCTGGCTCATGTTCAGCTTGTTGTCAATGACCAGGCTGCTTCTCTTTCACACTAGGCCTTGTTAATCAGGATTATAATTATTTTATGTTAGCTAGTGATTTGCTCACTACTGCTTCTACAACAGCAAGGTGTTGGTGTGGTGTGTTTTCTATACCACTGAATTTAGGTAAAATGATTTGTTGAAGTAACCAGGGACTAGTGGAGATCTGTGTACCTTGACCTCAGAAGCAGTTGGTTCACGCTAGCCTAGTTTCACTTCTTGAAATTCTTTTGTCTTTAAAAGGAAACTACAGCAAAATCATTTTTAACAAAAGAGGGCCAGGTTTAAAATAATACATCTCTCTTCCTCCCTGCTTCTCTTCCAGGCTTCTGAAGACCTGCTTTCTTCAACCTGAAAATGTCCAGCAGAAATCTTGAGTATGGACAGCTCCCGGAATATGAGAAAAGCCAGATTAAAAGGACCTTGGAGCTGGGGACTGTTATGACCGTGTACAGCCTCAAAAAAAGTAATCCAGAGAGAAGAACAATTCAGGTCATTATGGAAACCAGGCAGGTAGCTTGGAGTAAAACAGCGGACAAGATAGAAGGATTTTGTGAGTATCTGCTTAATGGCATCATTGCAAATATTGGAATTGATCACTTGCAAGCATTCTTGGAAATGATGAGAGGAAGACCCTAGATGTTACTCTGTGGTCTCCAGCCTCATGCTCCTAAGCTACCTGTCCTTTAGCATAGAGGTATGGTAGCAGGTAGCAAGAAAGTGAATTTTCCCCAAGATCAGGTCTCTCATTATACATCTGTTTCCAGAATTGACACTGTTGTGCATTTGCAGCTTTCTGAATTCTGTGTTCATGCTTCTGTGGGTTCCAGAGCACCTTTTCTGAATCAAACTGAAAGCATTGTGCAGCCCTAATAAATAATAGACTGAAATACAGTATGTTCATGCTAGTGTGATAACAAATGTGTTATGAAAAGTGGCTTAATGCACTAGTGCAGCCCAGCTATTGCACCACACCATGGTTAAGTAGGTTTATTTATGGTTTGGGTTGAAATCTAAATTGAGAAATCATAACTGCCTCCAAAACTGCATATCTTGAGAGATTGTGATTTATTCAGTCAAGCTGTGGTTGAACAATCCATATCTGAGTGTGAGGTACAAACCAGGCCCGAAAGAGGAAAATAGGAAATGGAAAAGGAGGGCTAAATCATAGTTCTCCTGGAGTTCATTTGGAAGTTCAGATCATAGTTTGGCATTTAAACCATAGCTATTGCAAATCATAGTTTAGTGTGGCATCTGAATGGAACTGCTTCATTGTTTTGCTTGCTACTAAGATATTTGTGCCATGTTTTGAGGTTAGTAAACCAATTGTGTGTTTGTTAAACTTATGTAGTAGTGAGCTTTACTAAGTAAAGCTGTCCATTTACATTTTTAGTGTTCAATGCATCACATAGTTAATCTCCATAAAGGAAGCCTATGATGTTAATGCTTCCTTTAACTGGTGGGAATAATGATTAATCAGTGGCTATAGATGTAAAACGTATTTTGCATGGGTGTGTTAGTTGTTTTACTATATGAACTGGAAAGGCAATAGAATAGAAAGCAGTAAAGAAGAACTTCCTTTTTCACAATTACTAGCACAGCTGTTAATATCTCAAGAAGATCAGAATAATGACACACTGATAAGATGTTCACCATATTTGCACAAATGTCTCAAAATCAGATGACATTTGTATATAGCTGGCTTGCTTATTCATCCATCCATTCATTCCATTCAATTTTTAACCTGCCACAACAGCATGGAAGTGTGTTAATTGGAGACTAGAGGTTATGTCCAGTGTGTTTTTAAAATGGTAGCTAAGGAATTATGTGTTACAGGTAGCCCTTGGCTTACATCCATTTGTTCAGTGACTGTTCAAAATTATGGCGCACTGAAAAAATGGATGTACAACTGACCCTCAAAATTCAGGCCCTCGTAGCACCCCTGCCGTCACATGATTGCGAGCCGGGCATTTGGGTGCCCAGCTCATGATTATGATGTTGCAGAGAGCTGTAGGCAAGCAAAGTCAATGGGGAAGCCAGCAGGGAAGCCAGCAAGTAGCTCTGGAAAGTTGCCCTGGCTCTCCTGCGCTTGCGCCGTGCCCTCTACCCGTCAACCTTTCTGTACTTGTCTGCGCCCTCCACCCATGACCTCCCTGCACTTGTGCGGCACTGCGCCCTCCATCCTTTGGCCTTCCTGCACTCGTGCTGCGTTGTGCCCTCCACTCACAGCCTTCCTGCATTCACAGAGTGCTGCAGCACCCTGCTCCCCCGGCCTCTCCCAACTCACATGTGGCCTGCACAGTGCCTCCCAGGGCCTCCCCCACTCCCCACGGCACCCCCACGCTCCTTACCTGGGACTCCCACTGCTTCCCACTTAATGACCTACGCTTCTTGGGGTAACAATGGCAACTGGGACTGCTGGGATTGTCGTCGCTAAGCGATGCGATTACATGACATCGCACTTTAAGACTGTATTGCTTAGCGACGGCAATCAGTCCCAGTTGCTGCTGTAACCCGAGGACTACCTCTACCATTTCTAAATGAATATATTTCTTTTTGAGTCAAATGGCCTGGAATTTAAGTGGATCCCAAAGAGGGATTTTATATTGAACCAGAATTTTTTTTTTTTTTTTGTAACTTCATGAGCAAGCAGGAAGGTAAAGTTTCCTTGGTTTCATGTACAACTGTAGCTTAAAATAACTTTTCAGTGTTAACATACTAGTAAGAGTGAATTTTCTTTTGCAATTGTTGCAAATGTGCTTATGTTGATTTTAAAATAGCTATTTTGAACCTAGTATTATATAAGTTATATTGCAAGAATTTTGTTATCTTTTCTGGCAGGAATAAAAAACATTTTTATTGCCTGTTAGGAAAAGTTTTTATTTTTACTTTTATTTTGAATTTTTCTAGACCGCTTGTGGAAAAATGTATGGAGTTTTACATTTTTATCCTGTGTACTGTATCAGTATAAATCTATTGGAAGTGGTTGGCTTTCATTTAGGTAATTTCAAATTATTAGGAGTAAAAGCTTAAACTAATTACAGTAAGCTTTGTGGCTGAAAAATTTGCAGTTTTCATAGTGAAAGCAGCGTGTTACAAATCATATACTTTACAAGTCAAAATGAAAGTTCCCAAGTTACAAAAATTATATAGAAGACTAATAAAAGTTTAACACACCTTTGAACAGGTGTCAATAGAAGAAGAAAGAAACCTTTATAACCCAACAGGCAAGAGTAACGTGTAAAATATACATATGTATAATCCCATTCCCATTTTGCACGTGTCTAAAATAATTGAACTTAAATATGTATAAAATCTCATTTGCATTTTATGGGCATTCTATTTAATAGAACTCCTTCGCCTTTATTAGTCTTAAATTGATTGCTACTACCGTGTTTCTCAAACTTGGCCATTTTAAGATGTGTGGACTTCATCTCCCAGAATTCCCCAACCAGCTGGCTGGGGAATTCTGGGAGTTGAAGTCCACACATCTTAAAGTGGCCACGTTTGAGAAAGACTGGTCTACTGTATTGGCATCATTACTTTAAGCTCTTTGATATATTATAAGATTGCATTATAACTTATTAGAGCAAAGCATATTTAGTTTGTGCTCTTGCTTATTGCTGCTTGATGTTCTTTGTCCTTCCTTTGATTTAATTTTATTCTTTTTTGTAACCTGATTTTTCTATACGATCCGATCTTTGATTGAAATAAACTGCTACTGCTTAATAGTCAATTGAATGGATCGGCTCTTACTCCCAAGAAATGGGACCTAGCATTGCAGCCTAGACTTCTTTCAGATGTTCCATCTCTTTCAGGGCTGATGTCCAGAGGCCCAGCATTCTGAAAAATGTGCAAAACTTGTACCATTCCAGTTTGTGGTTTTGCCTTCCTGCCACAAATATAGGGTCGAATCATGCCATTTTTTTTTTCAAGGCAGACTGTTAACTGGTTCAGTGCAAATTTCAGCTTGTCTTTTTTTCCCCCAGACAAAACGTAACTGTTTGCTGTAGTTAATAAAACTGTTTATGACAAATAGCTATTGTGTTGGATCCATTCAGAAGGTACCACTGCACTTGTGACCGTAGTCCTGAATTATGCCACACGAAAGAAAACATTGATGGTTCATTGTTCTTAGGTTTCAAGAGAAGCTGCATGATTTCCTTTAACGATGGTTAAGTATACATTTTACTGCTTTCCAGTATAGACAATCCCCTACTTGCGAATTTTCATGTTGCAAACTTTCACTGATATGAACAGGATGGACCTGGAAGTCAGAACTGGAAGTCAAGCCAAAAATTGGAGCTGGAAGTTGGGAGAAGGCCGCAAAGGGTTAGTTTCCAGTGCACTGCAAACCTACCCTTTCCCACCTTCTCCAGCCTTCCATTTGCATTTGAGGTTTGCATTGAAGTTGGAGTTCCCAGAAAGGGTTAGTTTACACGGTGTGCCGGGTAAGGCAGGAGAGGAGGTGGTGGCAGAGGACAGGGGAGAGAGGGCGGAGGTCTCCTGCCTTGCCTGGCAACGGAGCACGCCATGCCCCACCGGCCTTGCCTCCTGCCTCCTGCCTCTACCTCTTTTCTTTTTTCTTTTTTCTTTTTGGACTTACGAACAAAACGGACTTACAAACAGCCTCTTAGAATGTAACCTGTTCGTAAGTAGGGGATTATCTGTATTTCCAAAACATCATTATGTTTTTGGATGGCTTATGGAATAAAGTTGTAGATTCTTCCCTTTCCCTTTTGTCTTAGATGCAAGTCTTGCATCTAAACTGTTTCTAAATTTGCTCAGAATTTCTAAGTCCACCGTAACTTCTGTTTTTACTGTCTCATTTTTTCCTCTCGGGTAAGCATTTTTGTTGAATCCAGTGTCAGGTTGTTGCTGCTGCTGCTGCTCTCCTAGCCATCTGTTTTGTGGGATCTGATGTAACAGAGCACTTTGAAATGCAGAATTATCAGGCAGTCTCATGGCCTTGCTGTGTCATGACTAGTTTGTGTTAGCGTAACGCCGAAAAAGTGAGGCAAAGACAAAAATGCCAGGGAAGGGGGGAAGGATGTTCCTTCTCAAACTTTTGGGTGTGCTTCAAGTTTTGCACATGAAATGTTTTGGAAAGAAGCATTTTGCACACCTCTAAGGACAGGTGTCTGAGCATCTGGGAACTCCACTTACTGCTTTCTCAGTGTCTGCGATGATGTCACTAATACATTCCAGCATTCCCCAGAGTTATCTCTGTAGGGACTTGTCAATGCAAAGAATGGCCTTACTCACACCACCAAGTCACCAGTAGTCCTTCTACTGAGTAAACAGTTGTAACACCAGCAAGAAAAGATGAGAAATGGAGCACCTCCAGTAAGCCCTATAAACTTCAGGGGCTCCCATAGCTAATAATTTTCCTTTTGACAACTCTACGGAAGAGGAAGAAGAATGGGGGCATGGCAAGATACCCAAGTAGCAACCTTGGTAACAAGAGATCCAGTCCAGATCCGGGGAAAGCTCGGTCTGAAGGAGAGAAGACAGCCTTTCTCCAGGCATGAAAGGGAAGATCAAGGACAAGCA